CTGATCTACTGCTGCTGACCTTTCAGTGTCTTCAATTAAACACAGAAACGTCCAGTCGGATCACACAACACCTCCATGAACACACACACACACACACACACACACACACACACACCTACAGGAGGAACACTGAACAGCAAATGTGGAGTTACATTAAAGTATTAAATAATTGCATCATTAAACTGGTATTTAAACAAGATTTCTAATTACTTAGTCTGAAAAATTATTTAATTCCTTAACTCAATACTTTTTAACACCCCTAAAAACCTTAGTGCATTGATAGACAATAGTAATTAAACTCTAAACTTTAAATTTGAGTCAAACATGGTCCTTTAACTTGACTAAAATGTTAAACATTACAGCAATATTGCGCCAGACCGCAACACCAGGAGAGGAGAGGAGACTGATGAAGCTAATTATGATATGGGGATGGTTAGAAGGTCAGTGGGCAAATTTGGCCCAAATTTGGGATTTTTAATGACCACAGAGAGTCGGGACCTCGGTTTAACGTCTCATCCGAAAGACGGCGCCCACTGGGCAGTATAGAGTCCCAGTGACTTTACTGGGGCATTAGGACCCAAACAGACAGCAGGTTGAGCGCCCCCTGCTGGCCTCACTAACACCACTTCCAACAGCAACCCAGCTTTCCCATGTGGTCTCCCATCCTTGTACTGACCGGGCGCAGCCCTGCTTAGCTTCAGTGGGCGACCATGTGAGAGTTGCAGAGAGCTAGTTGCTGGCTTTTCTGAATTTATACTACTTTAAGAGTCCACACTTAGATTTTGCTTGATAATAATAGCAGGTTTGGCATGCTGTCCCGAGAGAGAACCCTAAGCTTGGAGATAATTGAGCCCAGGGCTACCGAGAGCAAGATGGGGTGGATGGGGGGTTTCGAAGATAAGGGAGTAGTTTTAGGGCGTACTCACACTATGCTACTATAGTGTGAGTGCTCTGAATCGGGCTCAGGCACATTCACTTGGCCGGCCCTGGCCCGGTTGGAAGAAGTGGGCCTGAGCGCGGTTCACTTGGGCTTTGGCGCGGTACGTTTGTGTGTGAGTGCAAAACGTGCCTAAGCCCGAAACTGAAAGCGAGACGTGACTTTTAAGGGGCTGTTTAATATGGATTTATTAATCATTCTTTCTGTTTAGCGAACGCAAACTGCCGTAGTTTATTAAAGACGCAGACACCTCACTGCACGACAGCTGCACCTTCAGCAGACCTCCTCATTCCTGCAGCACGAGGGCTTTATGATTGTTCATGAGCGCCAAAAGTCGCGGATGTGTTCGGTGAAATATCTGACTGCGTGTCACCGCATCCCAAACGACTTAAACGATTTAACTAAAGAAATCTCAGCTGTGCTGAGCAAGAGCGCTTCTCTTCTGTTAAACTGAACCCAGTTCTAGGCAACTGTACATAGTGTGAGTACGGTCTTAAGCCTGGTTTATACTCCACACTTCGCTCCATCAGGCTAGCACCATTCATGCGGCTCTCAGTCCCGCCCAGACTCGTCAGCGCTACCAAACCGACCAATCACAGAGCTTGCGCTTTGCATCGTTTCGACGTGTAGTTACATTTTTTGAGAGGTGCACGTCAGCGACGCCGACGGCCACGGCGAAGGGCTATGCGTCAGCGCCGTAGCATACGCCGGCATTTGATGCAGAAGTATAAATCAGCCTTTAGACAGGCTACTTATAGTGAGTTTGGATTATTCTGATTGGCTAATTAATGATTATAGTTATGGGACCAGCTGCGATCAATCATATCACATGCTTTTCTCAAATTGAAAACTGGACTACACTGTTCCAATTTACTATGATCTTTACTATGAGCTGCTTTGACAAAATCTACATTGTAAAAGCGCTACACAAATAAAGCTGATATACACTATAAGTAACGTTAGACCTGTGCCAATAATCAATATATGGACATGAGCTCAATCATTGTTGGTGATGCAATAAGTTTTGCCCGTACATGAAAATCAATTCTAGCAACGTTTCAGCTGATTGAGCAACATCTCTATCTCTATTGGAGGAGTCAGCATGGTTCAAAACACTGTAGTATTTACTATAAATTACTGTAGTCTATTTTAATGTAGCAGATATCGCAGCCGTTACTTTACACCTTGTTAACATTTATTATTATTTATTTAGGATCTGCGTTTTACATTCTGAGCCAAATGGCTGATTATCAAACAGTTAACATGACTATAATTAAATTAAATATTCTTAAGAACGAAATATGATGTGCTCTTTGGAAGAGTGCACTTGCATCGCGATGATATTATATTGTCTGGCATTATATAATGAGTTGCATGAAATGGTCAATATTATCGTTTATCTCAATATATTTTGGTGCAATATATCATTCAATGAAATATAGATATCATTACAGGCCTAAGTAATGCATATAAAATGACAGTGATCCCTTTTTTAATGTATTCATCAGAAAATGTGTAAGTGACTTAAGTGTATTAGTGACTTTCAGAAGTCACTTGGCTTCAATAATGTCACTTTGCTGCTAATTAAACCCTGAATTACTTGTAAAGAGGACTGATGATCAGCTGACTGTCTTTAAATGAACTTTGTCTCCCAAACCCACTGACACAATTTAGTTGAGAAAGAGTGGATTCAGATAACTGATGATGACAAATCAATCACACACACACAGAGAGCAAACACACACATCCAGTCACACAGTTAACCAGCAGCACATGAGTGTCTCCATCACGAGATTCAGAGTCTGCTGCTTATTGACTACACAATATTCAGAATATTTACATCATGCATATGCATTTATTAATGCTGATGCACCAATAGCTGAGAGATTCACATGCATCAACATGTCTGCTGTTCCAGAACTCTACAAAAGCACACACACACACTGTTGTACTGTGGCGATATGGTTGTAAAAGAATCAGAATATTCACATAAACATGCACTCTCCGAATAACATCAGCGTTTGAACACGCTCACAAATACACAACAATCTGTTATAAGCGTGGTAGCAAATGCAAAGTACATGCTGTTGTGTAAATAACACATCTGATCATGCACTAACACTAACTCGCATGCATGAAAGGGTGTTCAGTAATGTGTGTGAATGCAGTGCATGATGTAAACTGAACAGTGCAGCTTACTGAACACTCTACCATGCATGTTTAGTTAGTTAAAGTAGTTATAATGTTAGTTAAAGTTGTGTGTTTGCTGTGAGTGTTGACTTACATTGTTTCTGATGAGCTGCAGGCTTCAGTGTGGGCTGTAGTTGCTGTTGAGTTGTTGTTGAATGAGTTCTGATGGTGATGGACTGAAGACCAGCGTGTTTCACTCACTCCACTGACCACGTGCACACACTCAACACTCGCTGCTCGGCACACTGAATCACTCGTTCTTCTGAATCGGTTCTTTCCTTGTGATGCGTTTCGGTTAAACTGATATCATATATGAACTGGTTTTGATGTTTTGAATGTTGTATTTATACTATGATGTGTTTTAGGAAAGAAATGAGAAAGATTTATTAAAGTTTTTAAGCAAATTAATTAACTGAGCCGAGCTGTCTGAATGAATCGAGTCGCTCAAAATGACTCTGACGTTAATAAACAGTTCTTTTAGATAACGCTACTGGTTTAAGAGAACAGTGTGGATCGAGATTGTAAGAGTGATTGTTATATCATACAATATATAGGAGTTTTTATGTACTCGTTATGTTTCTGTCTCAAGATTGTAGGATTTTTAGGTTTGTCAACTTCCTGTCAAAGTCGCAGAGAATTGTGGTAAATGTAGTTTATGTCAATATGTTTGAAATGTGCACCTTTTAAATTGACGTTTCAATGATATAATGGGAATTATTAATAAAATCCGTAGCCTATATGTAAATTTGTATGCTTTCAAACATAAAACTTAAACGTAGATAAGTTTCATGAACTGAAAAAATAAAAACACACACAATTTAGGCGACACAGTGGTTAGCGCTGTGGCCATGGTGTATGAATGTGTGTGTGTGTGGGTGTTTCCCAGTACTGGGTTGTGGCTAAAAGGGCATCCGCTATGTAAAACATATGCTGCAATAGTTGGTGGTTCATTCCGCTGTGGCTACCCTTGATGAATAAAGGGACTAAACCGAAGCAAAATGAATGACACACATGGTTCATGGTTTCCAAAATGGTCTGCTTTAAAAATTCCAATAAAGAATTCAAGAACTGCATGACTTCAAACTCACTTAAAATGGGTGAAATGTTAGCCTAATGAACATTTTCTGAACAGATATTTGGATTAATTACAAATAAAAATACATAAACACTAAAGTTCGTCTCTAAAACTTCAAGTTTTTTGAACAATTCATATTAATACTTGGTGTATTACATAATTTTAAAATGATTTGTGGTGGTATATGCATCATGGCAGTTCATGCAGTACATGATCTAGACATTTCTTGTCTGTTATTTAGTGTGGTGCAAAGACTAAACTAGATTAATTGCATCCAGAATAAAAAAAATTGTATTTACATAATATATGTGTGTGCACTGTGTACATATAAATGTGAATATATACATGCACACATATACATATATATATATATATATATATATATATACATATATATTTTATATATATAAATAATTTAAGAAGTTGATGACAGGCTGTTGAATTTTTAGAAACAATGCACACACAAGGTGGTTAGTACTCTTCTCCTCTGGTCTCCAGTACAGCAATAAATCCATTATTCAGATGTTGTATGCTTAGAGTGTATTTGTGAGGTGTGTGTCGTCCTCAAACGTCTCCTGTGTGTAGCACTAGAGTCCTCCACATCTCCTCCTCCTCCTACTGTTGTGATTTCTAACTGCTGTAGCAGTGAAATAGCTCTAATCATTCAGCGGAGTGATATGGAGCTGTAATGCACTCTAAACCTGCCGGAACTACTTTAGCAGTGCCTTTATCTGACAATAACCAAACACCTTAGAGTGATCATCAGCCAATCAGAATCAAGCATTCATCAGCCCTGTGGTATATGTAAATACAAACTTTAATTTTGGATGCAATTCAGTCTTTGCACATCACTACATTTACTGGATAAACCCAAATCCTCAACCTCTCTCAAAATAAACAGAACACTGTTAGCATGAAAACGGAGCAGGATGACGACGACATCTATGTAAAATCCAGAGAATAAAAGCAGAGGAGCACTGATCCAGAGTCAGCAGTCAGTGGATGGAGGGTGTGATGTTCACAGGGGAGGCAGATCTGGAGTGCTGAGCAGCTCCTGACCCACAGCAGAGTCTCTGAGAGCAAAGAAAGTGACGCCGGAGCTGTACGCCGCTGGAATCAGCAGATGAGGAGTTTTCTGACGGACATCATCAGCCTGCGCTTCCTCACTGATCATCTGGTGGACCTGACCTGCAAACACAGCAGAATCATGCTGTAGGAAGTTTAACAGCAGATGGAGCTCTAGGCTAGTTTTAAGATCCGAGGGTGCTCTAGGCTATTTTTTTTTTACTGCAGACGGCGCCCTAGGCTGGTTTTTATACAGCAGAGGGCGCTCTAGGCTGGTTTTAAAATCAGAGGGCACCCTAGGTTAGTTTTTATACATTAGACAGTACTCTGGGCTAATTTTTATACAGCAGAGGGCGGTCTAGACTGGTTTTTATACTGCAGAGGGCGCTCTAGGCTAGTTTTTATACACCAGATGGCGCTCTAGGCTAGTTTTTATACAGTAGAAAGCGCTCTAGGCTAGTTTTAAGATCAGATGGCGCTCTAGGTCAGTTTTTATACACCAGATGGTACTCTGAGCTAATTTTTATACACCAGATGGTGCTCTAGGCTAGTTTTTATACAGCAGAGGGTGCTCTAGGCTAGTTTTTATACACCAGATGGCGCTCTAGGCTAGTTTTTACACAGCAGAGAGCGCTCTAGACTAGTTTTAAAATCAGACGGCACTCTGGGCTAGTTTTATACAGCATAAAGCGCTCTAGACTGGTTTTCATACTGCAGAGGGCGCTCTAGGCTAGTTTTTACACACCAGATGGCGCTCTAGGCTAGTTTTTACACAGCAGAGAGCGCTCTAGGCTAGTTTTAAAATCAGATGGTGCTCTAGGTTAGTTTTTATACACCAGACGGCACTCTAGGCTAATTTTTATACACCAGATGGAGCTCTAGGCTAGTTTTTATAGAGCAGAGAGCGCTCTAGGCTAGTTTTAAGATCAGATGGCGCTCTAGGTCAGTTTTTATACACCAGATGGTACTCTGAGCTAATTTGTATACACCAGATGGTGCTCTAGGCTAGTTTTTATACAGCAGAGGGTGCTCTAGGCTAGTTTTTATACAGCAAAGGGCGCTCTAGGCTAGTTTTTATTCAGCAGATGGCGCTCTAGGCTAGAGTTTAACACCAGATGGTGCTCTAGGCTAGTTTTTATACACCAGATGGAGCTCTAGGCTAGTTTTTATAGAGCAGAGAGCGCTCTAGGCTAGTTTTAAGATCAGATGGCGCTCTAGGTCAGTTTTTATACACCAGATGGTACTCTGAGCTAATTTGTATACACCAGATGGTGCTCTAGGCTAGTTTTTATACAGCAGAGGGTGCTCTAGGCTAGTTTTTATACAGCAAAGGGCGCTCTAGGCTAGTTTTTATTCAGCAGATGGCGCTCTAGGTCAGTTTTTTATACACCAGACGGCACTCTGGGCTAGTTTTTTTTACACCAGATGGTGCTCCAGGCTAGTGTTTAAAAGCAGACAGCGCTCTAGTCTAGTTTTTAACAGTAGATGACACTGTAGGCTAATTTTTAATGGTGCTCTAGGCTAGTTTTTAGATCAGATGGCACTTTAGGATTGGTTTTTATACATCAGACGGTACTCTGGGCTAGTTTTTATACAGCAGAGGATGCTCTAGGCTAGTTTTTATAAAGTAGAGGGCGCTCTAGGCTGGATTTTATACACCAGAAGGCACTCTGGGCTTATTTTTATTCACTAGATGGCACTCTAGGCTAGTTTTTAACAGTAGATTGCACTGTAGACTAATTTTTAATAGTGTTCTAGGCTAGTTTTAACAGCAGATGGCGCTCTATGTTAGCTTTTATACACCAGATGGTACTCTGGGCGAATTTTTAAGAGCAGAGAGCTCTCTAGCCTAGTTTTTATACCGCAGAGGGGGCTCTCGGCTATTTTTTTATAGCAGAGGGCCCTCTAGGCTAGTTTTTACACACCAGATGGCACTCCGGGCTAATTTTTATACAGCAGAGGGTGCTCTAGGCTAGTTTTTATACACAAGACGGCACTCTGAGCTAATTTTCATACACCAGATGGCACTCGAGGCTAGTTTTTAACAGTAGTTGGCACTGTAGGCTAATTTTTAATGGTGTTCTAGGCTAGTTTTAACAGCAGACGCTGCTCTAGATAAGTTTTTAACAGTAGATGGTGCTCTAGGTTAGTTTTTATATATCAGATGGTGCTCTGGGCTCATTATTATACAGCAGAGGGCGCTGTAGGCTAGTTTTTATACAGCAGAGGGCGCTCTGGGCAAGTTTTATACACCAGACAGAACTGTAGGCTAGTGTTTAACAGTAGATGGCGCTCTAGGCTAGTTTTTATACAGTAGATGGCGTTCTAGGCTTGTGGCTAATGGCATATATATCGAACAGCTGAATTTACAGCATCATACCCTCCACGTCAAGTGTTTTCCAGCGCGAGTCCGGATGCTGCTGTGAGATCTGTGGCAGCTGAACGTCAGGCGTGAGTCTCTTCAGAATATCCTCCCGTCGTATGAGCAGCACAGACTCACTGCACAGACGCTCATGAACCTCCTCTTCACTCACTGCACAACAGCACACACCCATGATTTTGATGTTTAACATATTCAGGAATTGTTCACAGTATTTCCTATGATATTTTTTCTTCTGGAGAAAGTTTTATTTGTTTTATTTCGGCAAGAAGACCGTATGCTGAAGTGTGATTTTACGCACCTACGTCGAGAGGGTTGGTCATGAAGACAGCACTTGGTCCAACTCCGAAGATAAGCTGGTGATGCCAGGCGTCGGGTATCTCCTCTCCTTCAGGAACAGCTCTCTGCATGTTCATAGTGGCGACGGGAACGGCTCCGCGCAGAATCCAGCGCGCTAACCATGGTACCAGCTTTACTCGCCGGCGAGGATGCAGAGCAAAGAATCGACCAATGACACGTCCGCCGCTGGCCTGATCCGCTCCGCATATCAGCTGCTGGTGCGTTGCTCCTGGAGGACCAGAATAGCATCACAGCAGATAGAAAGTCAAATATAAAACAAGTTCAATGTTGTATATGATACATATTTAAGATTAAAACATTTAATAGTACAACAGCAGAGCTGCTGGTAAAGGGGAGGAGCTGATAGTAAAGGGGCGGAGCTGCTGGTGAAGGAGAGGACTTGAAGGGGCGGAGCTGATGATGATGAAGGGGAGGAGCTGATGATGAAGGGGATGAGCTGCTGATGATAAAATGGAGTTGCTGGTGAAAGGGCGGAGCTGGCAATGAAGGGGCAGAGCTGAGGGTGAAGGGGCAGAGCTGATGGTGAAGGGGCATAGCTGGTGATGAAGGGCGTATCTGATGATGAAGGGAGGAGCTATTGATGTATGGGGAGGAGCAGCTAGTGAAAGGGCAGGGCTGATGATAAAGAGCCGGAGCAGATGATGAAAAGGGTCAGAGCTGCTGGTTAATAGGAGGAGCTGATTGTGAAGGGGCGGGCCTGAAGTTGAAGGGGTGGAGATGATTAAGGGGAGGGGCTGTAATCATCATTATTATTATTATTATTTTAGGAATTATATATGTATTATAGGCATTAATCCAACATCAACTTCATCTTAGGTGGTCCAAGGTTGAGGAAATTTACCGAAATTTCCAAATAAACAATTGCATTAAATTTGTTACATAATATAATTAAAGATAACAAATGAAGATCACTATCACAAAAATCAGAATGGAATGCTATGATGTCGTTCAGACATATAAATACATGTAAAAAACTAATCTTTTTGATTGTTTGTTGACGTCTTATAAATGTATAACACGTAGGTTAGTCTGTGCTTCATTAAACCAGTTTTGTCTTTTTGGCGCCATCTAGTGTCTGAATAATGTGCAGGTTAGTGTATACTCCATCAGCTGTTATTGATTGTTTGGCCCCATCTAGTGTCTGAATAATGCGCAGGTTAGTGTATGCTCCATCAGCTGTTATTGATTGTTTGGCGCCATCTAGTGTCTGAATAATGCACAGGTTAGTGTATGCTCCATCAGCTGTTATTGTTTGACGCCATCTAGTGTCTGAATAATGCACAGGTTAGTGTATGCTCCATCAGCTGTTATTGATTGTTTGGCCCCATCTAGTGTTTGAATAATGTGCAGGTTAGTGTATGCTCCATCAGCTGTTATTGATTGTTTGGCCCCATCTAGTGTTTGAATAATGTGCAGGTTAGTGTATGCTCCATCAGCTGTTATTGATTGTTTGGCGCCATCTAGTGTCTGAATAATGCGCATGTTAGTGTATACTCCATCAGCTGTTTTTGATTGTTTGGCCCCATCTAGTGTCTGAATAATGCGCAAGTTAGTGTATGCTCCATCAGCTGTTATTGATTGTTTGGCGCCATCTAGTGTCTGAATAATGTGCAGGTTAGTGTATGCTCCATCAGCTGTTATTGATTGTTTGGCGCCATCTAGTGTCTGAATAATGCGCATGTTAGTGTATACTCCATCAGCTGTTTTTGAATGTTTGGCGCCATCTAGTGTCTGAATAATATGCAGGTTAGTGTATATTCCATCAGCTGTTTAGACTTTTTTGCACCATATTGTCCGACTAATACGCAGGTTAGTGTATGCTACATTAGCGGTTTTTATTCTGTCAGCTTTGCATTTAATTAAAGAAATTAACTATTATGAATTAGAACAGTGTTTTTTGTCTAATTTGCATGTTTTGTGTCAAGTTGCCGTGTAATAAGCAGGATAAAGTACATCTATTACGGTTGTCTTCCCAGAATAAACCCTTCACTCTTCTACATGACAGAGCTGTGCTTTAAGTCGAGCTGCTGATAAACTCGTCTGGCCTTATTCTGTGAAAACAATCTCCTGGATGTACTTTATCTCCAACTTAACCAATGGAACCTTATTGTAAAGTGATCAATTGAAAACCAGCATATATCTGCTATCAGGTAGACTTGCGTAGTGTTGATGTACCAGCCGTGCTCCGCGAGTGCAGATAATCATGCAGAGGCGCCTCATTCCTCCTCAGACTGGTCCTGACGCAGTGGTTGACCGTCTCTGGGCTCACGGAGATGCCAAGCGCCTGCAGGACGTCCACCACAGCGGTCGCTCCGCACGCAGACACCCCGATCTGCAGCGTCTGCCTCTGCACCGCCTCCTGGATGCTCCACAGCATCGCCGTCTGGACCTCCGCCTGCTCAGAGTCCTGCACAGGGGGGTTCTCCACCGCAGACTGGCACACCTCCATCTGTGCTGGGGATGGGCCGGAAAACACACGTATTCCGTTAAAGGACTCGTGAAATGCTTTGAAATGTGCAGTTTTAATTCAGTGTTTGACTTCATCTAACGTCAACTTAATCTCAAATTAACATCATGAGGCCTCTAGAGGTTGTGCAGTATGACTTGATGAGATCCAAGACCTGAGAAGAGATCGAAGACTGAAAATACAGACTAAAATACATCTGATAAACTTTCTAACACATCAATCACAGGCCTTAAAAGCTCATACAAATAAAAATCATTGACTAAATATTTAGATTTTTACATATTTTTGAGGGGAAATACAGATAAAAACAATAGTACAAAGAAAAATATTAAATAAACAGAGCTTTATTGTTGTTTTGAGGTACAACATAACACTGTACAGCCTTTATTGAACGAATAATTAAATACATTCATTAAATAATAATAATTAAATACAATACTCAAACTGTTAAAGCAGTAAACATCAGTCACAGGCCTTAAAAGCTCATCCAAATAAATATCCTCCACTAATTATTGAGATTTTAACAGATTTAAGTGTGTTGAACAACAATTAAGACAATATTATCATGTGTTGGCTTTAATTGTAAGTAACAACTGGCTATTTTTAAGCTTTTCCTGCATAATTTGAATCTTTTTCACTTTATTACCAGATAATAAACAAACAAACGACATTATTTACCACTTTATTACCAGGTAATACAGTGGTGTTTGCTGCACTGAGTGATCATTTCGCTTCATAAGACCTCAGGAGCCGCTGGAAATTATTATAGTTTGGATGCATATTATTATAATTATTATATTTAATCTCAAAGTGTTGGCACCCACTCGATCATTATATGGATACCAGATGACAACAGTTCCAGGTAAACATTTAATTTTACTGACGAAAAAAAGTCATCTGCATCTTGGATTCCCTGAGGGGGAGTAAATTAACAGGAAATTTTCATTTTTGGGGGAACTCTGCTTTTAAAGCTATTATAAGCCATCAATCAAACCAGCAACATCACAAACACAGAAACACAAGACTGTGAAGTTTAATGAGGGAAAGAACTACACTGACATGTGCTGTGGATGCTTAATCAAACTGAAATATCAGAAGTCAATAAAAATATGTAGCAATATTAAAAGTAAAGAAACATCATATTTAAATTGTATTGCATATTTGAATATGACTCTGTAAAGCATTGACGGTAGCAGTTTTCTGCATAAATTTGCTATCAAAAGCAATTAATTAAACAAAAGCATATGCAATAAGGTTACAGCATGTCTATCTTTCATGGTTTATCAGTTAATATTAAAAAATGCATTTCCCCTACTGATAAAAATGCTTGGATGTTTTATTTACAGAACACATTGCACTTTACAAACACGCCCCAATACAAAAAAACTCAAGAGTTTGCATAAGAACTCTTATTCAATGTAATAATAACATTAATAATAATGTGAAACTCAAATGAAACACTTTCATTTGAAGAAAATTTTCAAGTAATCAATTTTAAAATTAAAATTACAAGCTTACATAAAGATATTCCAAAACCACACTTCCATGTGCATTTTAACATGTGAATCTAATGTGCTTTTAATGTTTTATGTGTAACAAAGCATACTAGTACTGAGCTACTAAACAAATGCATTCAAACTCCATCACCTGTCTATTTCTTGACTCGTTATTTTATAGGAATTCAATAAATAAATATATATCAAAATGTGCACATTTGTGTATTCGTGCACTGCACATTTGTACAGTGTACATTTTTACATAAAACTGAACTGAAAATGCAAAATAGCTATGCATGTGGCCTGGGACTACGTTGCTTGGTGAGATTTGGCTGAATAATCAACGTGTTCATCATATTGAGGTAGAATTGGTTTTATATTCGCACGTTTGTTCAGTGACAACTTCTGATACGAGCCCTATATTGTTGTTTACATTGCTACTGTGATTTCCCCATTTAGAATTTGCAGATAATACTTCTGTGAAATTGTATATTATTGATGAGAAATACCTAATGTGCTAATATAAAACCAACTTTACCTCAATCTTCATCATCATAAATATATCACTTAAATCGGCAGTTATTACATTTAACCAGTGTCCGTGTGTGCATGTGTGTGCGGGTGTGTGTGTGTGTGTGTGTGTGTGTGTGTGTGTGTGTGTGTGTTAACGCATTCCTATGATTGCTTATAATATACCGTTAACGTTTCTGCGGCAAACAATTGGCTGACGATGAGCTATATGGCTCTACTATTGTAAAAGAGTGTCTTAGGTGACATTTTACCACGGTAAAACCACCGTTAGCGCTATATTTAGCATGAATCCATGTCAACAATGGTAACAGAAGCGTTTAGTTTCCAAAATCACGACGTTCTGTAAGTGTTGACGAGCTCCCCGCAGCGCAGATCACTTTCTGGGTAAGACACATATAATATATATGCCAAAATGACAAGGACAAAACGCTAAAAACGAAGATTCTGCTTTGATACAAACCACTTCACCGGAGAAACTCCGCTCGCTTCCTTCTGACAGGCTCCGGTTTGTTTTGGTTCTTCTATTGGCGCTCATGACTATCATGCAGTGCTCTCATTGGCTGCTGGGACTCGGTTACTATGTTGTGATTGGCAGGGTTTGCACATGACTCAGACTGAGGTACAAAAACATTTATTGTAATTTTAATTTAATTGACATTAGATTAGTCGTACAATGGTAAACAAAAATAAACTAATACTTTAAACGAATGATAATAATTTGACGGTTTGTTTTGATATTTCTACTGACTCTCATGACTATAATGCAGTGCTCTGATTGGCTGCCGGCTGTCATAGGCAAGGCTTAACTTTACACATAATATTTAATGCAATTTATTTAATGCAATTAGAATTAGAATAGTCCTAAATTTGTAAACAAACAAGTTAAGCAGTTATTTATTATAATTATAAATAAATATTTATTAGAATTATAACTATTTAACATTGCTTTGATTGACTCTCATGACTATCATGCTGTGCTCTAATTGGCTGCCGGGACTCGGTTACTGTGCTGTGATTGGCAGGGTTTGCAAATAACTCAGACTAAGTTACAAATAATATTTAAAATAATTCAATTAGAATTAGAGTAGTCCTAAACTAGTAAACAAAAATGGCAAATACTTTAAATCAAAAATAATTATTTGAGGGTTTGTTTTGTATTGGCTCTTGTGAATATCATGCTGTGCTCTGATTGGCTGCAGGGACTCGGTTACTGTGCTGTGACCAATGTGACTGGCAGCAATGTAATTCAATTAAAATGAGAATAGTCCTAAACAGTAAACAAACATATCATAAATACTTTACTAATACTTTAATTGAACTTTTAATTAATTATAATTATATGACATATGTTTAGTTTGTATCGTTTTGTCTCCACTAAAATAAATATGTTTACATAAAAAACACACATTTATTAAAACTGAGATGATCTCACCGGTTCGGAATGCGGGAGTCCCGGTTGTAGTTTTTTGGCATGAAATTGGATCTACTTAGTACTTTCGCTTTCGAGCGCATTTTTCCCGCAGTGAAAGTGTTTGAGACTCAGTCAGCGAAAGTGAGCTGAAGAGAGATGAGCTCTCACAGGAAACATGTAGACTTCAACTCAAGATTTCACATCTGAGATTATAAATATTATTATTAATATCATACTGCTGGACTTCAGATGGTATCCGGGATGCTTTTCGCATGTGCAGTCGGACCTGCTGGTTTCAGGGGCTTTTCAGTCGCGTTCCTGCTGTTATTGGCGATGGCTGGCTGTGGTGAATATAAACATCTCCTTGCATTAATCGTGCAATGTGCAGAATATAGATATGCAATTTGTGTGTCATAAGAGTAATTGCAAATGTGATTTATACACTGCATGCTGAATAAATAGGGTTTAAGTTGATTTGTGATTTGTTTAGGACATTTTTTTGGAACTCAAATACAATTATTTTAAAATCTAATCAAAATATTGTATTTAAGTACATAGCAATGCGCATTATTAAGAAGAAATTAAGTTATGATATATTTTCGATTATAAATTGACAAAAATATCTTTATGAAACACAATTTTACTTAGTATCATAATGATTTTTTGGCATAAAAGACAAAATTTGTAATATGATACTAAGTAAAAATTATGTTTCATAAAGATAGGGTTATATATATATATATATATATAGTTGAAATCAGAATTATTAGGCCCCCTGTTTATTTTTTTCCCTATTTCTGTTTATGGTGAGAAGACTTTTTCAACACATTTCTGCACATGATAGTGTTAATAACTCATCTCTGATAACTGATTTATTTTCTCTTTGTCATGATGACAGCACATAATATTAGACTAGATATTCTTCAAGACACTTCTAAAAGTGTCTTAAAGTGACATTTAAAGGCTTCTCTGGGTAACTAGGCAGGTTAGGGTAATTAGGCAAGCATGAAAAGTAGTAGACTATCAAAAAATATACAGCTTAAAGGGGCTAATAATTTTGACCTTAAAATGTTTTCTTTTAATTAAAAACTGCTTTCATTCTAGCTGAAATAAAACAAATAAGACTTTCTCCAGAAGAAAAAATATATTATCAGACATACTGTGAACATTTCCTTGCCCTGTTAAACATCATTTAGAAAATATTTAAAAAAGAAAAAATAAATTCAAAGGGGGCGAATAATTCTGCACAAAATGATTTGGAATTAAATTCCCATGAAACGTTCTGCTTTTCATCAACACGTCCCGTACTATTATATTGGAAACGGGTATTTAAACATAATTTTAGCCCACATAACATATCTGTTTGGAATGACAGATGCATATTGGTGGCAAGGAAATCTTTGTTTATTGATGAATGGTGGAAGAAGGCATGTGGTCAATAACACATAATATGGAGAATTTAGGGAATATGTTGAGTTATGATGATGCTTTCTTTCTTTTTTTTATTTATTTATTTATTTATTTTTATTGAGCATTTTGATTTTGAATAAAGCCCGAGATCCACCCAACAAAATATGTAAAATAAAATAAAAATAAAAAGTAATATTGTAATAATAAGTACAAAATCAGGATTGAAAGATAAATGATACAGTCTCTCTCATATTTAACCAAAATTGCACAGTTTTTTTACTGGCTCCATTTATTTTGGCTGTGGTGTATTCCAGACTAATATTGTCCAGTAGATAGAGCCTCCAGGATAGATCAGTTGGAGCAGATGGATCCAGCAATAGTTTCAGGATTGTTTTTTTTTTGCTGCAGTCAGAACTGACAGAGTCCTTTTTTGGTTGATGGATAAGGAGAGTGATGAATCGTCCTTGATGATGCTTTCTCTAAAAAATACCAAATAAATTGATCTCCTAAAAGATATGATACAATTATTAAGAATACACTCTTGCAAATGGCTAACCTAGTGAAGGAACAAATAAAATATTCAATGATAAATCCTAAAATAATTGATCTTAAGTTAGAAATTTTTAACTTTACAGATAGAAAATGCTCATACAAATGTTTGAGAGATTATCTAACACAGTGATGTTTTCCAGGACCTGTTAAGAGAGCTTTTATAAATGTCATTATGATAAGAAAAATGTGTATGATATTACAAAAAATGTTTTTTTTTTTTATTTCCTATTAATCCTAAATGTATAGAAGTGCACTTTAAAACTATGAATCACAGTTATGCTGCAAAAGAATCTCTAAGGTTAAAATTCAATATTGGTGACTCAAATGTCTGGTGACTCAAGCTTTGACATTTAGATATTGAAAAAAACTGAGCACTTACAAAGATTTTGGGATGAAGTATTAGTTTGGATACAACAGAAAATATCTGTAAGACTAGTCCTCTCATGGGAAATTATTAAGTTTGGCCCATTTAATAATTTTTTGTAATTATTACATTTTATATTCATAAATGTACTTTTTTTTTTAAAAGACTAAGTGGTGTTTAAAGAAGAATGTGATGTATTTGAAGACATTAAGAGAGATGAAAAAAAAGTTTTGCTCATTCAAACTGCTTATTTAAAATGAGCTGAAACAACAATTCTTGAGATTTCATTGGGACAACTTAATTTTTTAATGTTCAATCCACATAAATTTGTTAAAAGTGTTAACTTAATCAATTTGTGTTGGGACAACATGATTGAATTGTGTGGAACCCGTGCTACATATTTTTCTTTATCATTTGTTTTTTTGTAAATTTTTGTTTTTGATTTTTTAATATATGTATTATAATTATAATTATTATTACTATTATTAATGAGGATGGAAAGATTGTGAATGTGTGTGAAATGATTGTTATCTCAGTCTTTTTGTGTAATTCTAAAATGTAGTAAACTCTAAAAAATATTGTTTAGACCAAACAAAAAAAAATTAACGCAACAGTTTGCATCAATATATTCAAGTTAAAACAAAATGAAGTTCAGACAGCAAACTTTATTATGTTAGCAAATGGCCTTTTCCTCTTCAATTAGCGGCACTTTTACATACATCAGCATAAACTCCATTTTTTATGTTGAGTTCTCAAAAAATTAAGTTGTTTCAACTACTTTTTAAAATTAAAATTTTAAATAAATCCAGTGTTACGAACTTAATTCCCATAAGTGTACATGCAAGTTTTCAAGTTTAGAACCTCAAATAAATTAAATAGCTAAAATTGTTACTTTTTTTTTTAAATTTACTGTTCATTTAGTTGCTTGTAACAGACACATTCAACAACAACATTTTTGTTTTCCAGTAATATTTTTTTCCAGTATTTTACAAAATAAAAATGTGTCTCATATAAACAGTATGAAAAATAATAAAAAACTTCAGTGTGTGGACTTAAAAATACAAAACGACATTCACTGAAAAAAGTGCTGCATGCTGAACTGTTGCAAACAATTTATTTGTGTTGAATTTAAACAAACAAATTAAATTTAATAATGTTCAACTTAATTTGTGTGTTTAAATTCAGCCCAAATAAATGGTTTACAACCACTTAACGTAAAACAAATTGAGTAAATCCAAGGAATCACCTTTTTTTTTTCAGTGTACAGTGCAACATAAAGAGCAAAATTTACTCTGAAATAAGTCGAGACTTCAGAAAATAATGTCCTTGAGACGCATTACTTTCGCACTGGGCTTCAGTCCATCAAGTTCGAGAAACTTCACAAGTATATTTAAGTTCCTTGAGGTAGTTCAGGTTCAGAGTATATATTATGCGCAGCAGCAGAGCACAGCACCTTGATATTCAATCCATTCCGGATTCTCATGCCCTCAACTATGATGGTTTCCGTCTTGTGGTTCAATTCCAAAGTAGACTGATCACCATTAATGGCAATTGTCAATACTTGCCTCCTCATTAAAGTCCTTGCTACTATGCTCGCCACTAAAATGCTTTTTTTTCTTCCATAACTCCCTGCTAACGTCCACTAAGTGTAATTTATGAAAACAATATATATTTTTATGCTTTCTAACGATTTTTGATCAATGTAAAAAAAAATCCCGGAAAATGATGAACGAATGTTCTATTAATGTTAAAAGAACGTTTGTTCATGACTTT